GGCCACTGCTTCTAGGTTGGAGGCCCTTCCTATTAGGTTGGAAGCCACCGCTATTAGGTTGGAGGCCATTGCTTCTAGGTTGGAGGCCATCGCTATTAGGTTAGAGGCCATTGCTTCTAGGTTGGAGGCCATCGCTATTAGGTTGGAAGCTGCTTCATGTCATGATGATCCAGGGAACGTTAGTTCATGAACAATATCAAACACTTTCAACACCACTCGTAGAAGCTCAAAGCAAGGGTTTGGCAAGTTGCTATTAGGTTGGAGGCCATCGCTACATCGTTTTTCGACGAAACGCTTTGCACGGTTTGGCAAGTCGCTCTCTGCAAACGAAGTAGAGAGCCACCAGAATCATCGAGGCACCAATGACATAGTCCTGGACAGGTCAGAGCAGCTACGGAAAACCAACCAACCAAGAACTGGAAAAGTATTGCAGTGCATCTCTTTGACTTGCCAGTGCTTGAGGTGGTTTGCCATATCAGGATTCTCAAGGCAACTTAACCAGTCATAAAAAGACATCCAAAGCATTCCCATCTCATTACTAGAGGACTCTCTTTCGATGTGTGCGCGGTCCGCGGTGTGCTCCAAACCCTCCATGTGCAGTTGAAGAAGAGAACCAAGCACGTACATGCAAACGCCAATCTGCAACAATGCAAGGGCTCTGCAAAAGGATGTGCTTGAACTGTGCATCTTGGGAGCAGTCATGCGAAGATCCAACATGGTCTTTCAGTGCTTGATCTTTCCACTAAATGACAACTGCAAAAAATAAGTTTCAGAATAAGGACATATACATGAAACATACATGGAACTCCTTCTACAGACAATCGCTTGCATCTCATGGCATCTGCCCGCCATCACGACGCCGAAGCAGTGTCCAACACCCCAGGAAGCACCAACTTTCGCAGCTTCCGTTGGTTTCATAAGCCTAACCGATCAGGTCATTCGGAATGTCACTTTGAATGTTCTTTTTGCATATGGCTCAGCATAGAGACAATGCTTTTCGCTTAGAGTTGGGACGAAATGCGGCCACGCAGCGCGCTGAAGGTCACCAGAGTGGCCAGGTGGTCAGGGCCTAACGCATGGAGACCACCACAAACCAGGCCCATGCCACTGGCCCTCACGGTACCCCTCAGATGACTTGATCGAATGACTCGAAGGAATTGTACCTCCATAAGTTCAGATCCAACATACTGTAAGGCATTCCTGTAGAAAGCATGTTTGCAAAAAAACAAGTGCACGATTGCAGCGGGTCGCGCGGTCAACATTTGCACAAAGCGCAGTGGCCTGAGAAAATGTGGAACACATGAAGGAAAACCGCTGCCTCTGAAACAGTGATGTCACATCTCCATTGAATCTGAACTTCATACAAGGAGCGCTCACACGGAAACGGATATCTGATATAGAAATAAGGCGTGGCTGACCTCACACATCTTGAGCCGCTAGCGGCTCTGGAGGCCAAGCAAAAATGGACAAAGAGACACCTGTGACAGTCTGAGGTTCGCATGCTTGTCTAGTCCAGGTCGACAGGCAAGCACAAGTGGCAGCGGTCTTCTTACAGGAAATGACCAAAATCTTCAAAGACAGGCCCCCGTTCGTAGCGTCCTTGCTCCTAGTAGCGATGCCAGGAGCCCCTAGTAGCGTCCTTTGCTCCTAGTAGCGATGCCCTTTGTTCCTAGTAGCGATGCCCTTTGTTCCTAGTAGCGTCCTTGTTCCTAGTAGTAAGGCCAGGAACCCCTGTCTTTCTGTCCACTCTCTCACACGTGATTTTTTGTCCAAGTGCCCCCAACACTCGGCACAAAATACCAACATCAAACCATGTTGGTGTGAAACCGAGGATCCGAAGGATTGCTTGACAACATTCCTCCCTGCCTGGTCAAATCGGAAACGCAATGTTTCCGGCAAGACCCTGTACGAATCTGTCGAGCCAGCATGCCTGTTGCACAGCATTGTGATGACAAGTGTCAAATACGAGGCCTTTGTTGCTGATTCGTGAATGCCCAACATCTGAAATTTAGGAACAAACCGCAAAGAGAGAGAGAGGCTCGAATTTGCATGCATCATTACATCAATGGAAGGAGGCAATGGCAAATGTGGATGGCAAGGGTGGGTAGATGCTGGATCCAGGTCGCTTCCTACTGTGACTCGAGAGCAATCATCTTTCACTCGGATCGAACTGTCTGGAGGAATGGATGATAGCTGTTTAATTCCTGTAAATTACCTTTTTTCAGGTCTGATCATCAGTCTTCTACAAACAAAGTAAACTAGAAACAATAAGCTACTAGTAACAAGTGCATCGCTTCTAGTAACAAGTGCCTTACTAGCAGTAACAAGAAGCTATTAGAAACAAGAAGTGTTTCTAATTAGCTCCGGAAGGATCTCAGTCTGATCAAGGTCTCCTCGAAACTGTGCAGCTGGCGTAACCGAGCCGAAGAGCCCGGCAAGGTTTCTGAGCGCGAGGATATCATGTCAAAAAGATGCGAAGAGGACATCATATATATATGTGTTATATAAATATATATATATAGTAATAATATATAAAGGTCTCATGAAACACTCGAGAAGAACCATTCTTCATCCTGCAGTACACAAACTTTGGGACTAGATGTTTCGAGATATCGCTTTACAGCGCTCACCCAGCTGTGAACCCGGTTCTCACAGCAAGCGAGAGATCTAAAGCTTGGCGACCAAACGGCGTGTTCGTTCCAACACAGTCGAGCAGACGTGGATCGTTCAGGCTTCGTCCAAGAACGTTCGTTCGAACAATGAACAAAAGCTCATTTGACAGCCTTGACAAATCAGACGAGCCCTGATAGATCATTCATGATAGTCTCGCAGCCACGAGCCATCACAAACTGGGATGGCCATGACCCCAACTTGTTCACCCAAGAAGGAAAAACTACAGACAATTTGATCTCATGTCTTTACCCGATCAAACTGATCTTGCCGTAATTTCCATCTTCATGGGCATTAAAATTCACTCCTGATTCCTGGTCAGAGTGCCAAAACCGCCTCTGCGTGTCCGACTGAGCATCAACGACCAAAGTAAGCAACACAAATGATAAGATTTGTGCGACGATGACTGGCTTCTCATGAAAAAGGCTTTCAATAATCTAGGTCCATCACTTTACCACTGAGAATATCAGTTCTGAAGTCTGCTTAGTAGGCGGACGGATCTTCTCAGGGCGAAAAGTAGTCTTTATCAGCTCATTGACTTGGCCGAAAACTTTTGAGAGCGAATCTCGTCGATGACTGCGACTGTCTATGACAACCCATCTACACCATCTCTCATCCCTCTGGTCAAAAGGGTGTCAAAATGGTCGCAAACGGCAAAAAACTGGTCGAGCGATGATGAGTCGCATCAAATGAAAAACTTGAACAGTGCGAAGAACACCGCTTCAGAATATGTTGCACCTGCCGCGACCGTAGCGTCCTGTGGGACCTATTTTAAATCTTCAACACCCTCACTTCGCCATTTTTGGCTCTGCGCCTCAGCAAGGTTTGTCTTCTCAACTCCAGTATGGTCTTCACTGAGGCCACAACACGTGAGTTGTTTTGCCAGCTGTTGCCTCAGCAAAGTCGACTCAGAAAGATTGATTCTCATTCAACTGCAAGTTGGTGATGACTTCGTGGTGTCCATTCATGAAACGTCCCAGTGAAAGTGAGAGGAGAGACAAGCAACCCTTGTGACTTCCTAGTGCCTTCCTAGTGACCTAGTGTCTTTGTTCGTCCAGGTTATGAACCTCGTTGGTCTTATCGGCTTCTTTCAAGACCGCAATTGTACGACACGATAAAGGTGTCTTGAACTTCTGTGCCATTATAATTTGGCAACACTAAAATGGATAATGGGCTTGTGCACTGACTGCTCACTAGCTGTCACTAAGTCACTAACTCCTTTCACTTTCACGCGTTTACTCCAGCTGTTGGACTTCACAGCGCCTTGGCTTCGGAGCCCTCGCGCAGCTGCCGCAGGAGCTCCTGGCCACTGGAGGCCAAGGCCTGTCGCCGAGCGAAGCGAAGCAAAACAACAAGGAGCAAATGCTCGGCCCGCTGGGCTCTCGGTTCCTCAAGACAAATGGATTAATTAAAGAAACACACAAAGCCTGCTGAATAGTTTTGGTTTCTGGGTCTAAGCACTTGAATGGAATATGCGATGGTCGCGCGGCCTGCCGCTGAGAAGTGTCCCCCTCCTCACTAGCAGTGCTGGGAGTTGTGTGGCCTCAGATGCAAAGAAAACTGGCCCAAAGCAAGATGGGACACCGTCAAAAGCCATGGTGGTTCCTACTCTATCTTTCAAAACTGACATTCTTCAATGCGTTTAAATACATTAAAATGCACACCAGCCCTCTAGGCTCTGCGCCTTCAGCTGACCTGGCATGAGTGGCACAAGTCAAAGAATGGATGGAGACAAGTCTTGAAAGAAATGTAGAGGAAAACCCTGTCATTAAGGTGTCTCTACACTCAAATTACTCTAGCTTGAACACATGTGATCTCCCATGGAAGCTTGTCAAGTACTTGGCCATTGATGTAAGACGTCTTTCTGTTCACAGAATTTCGTCCCAAACCTGGCAGAGACCAGACCTCTTGACGTATTTCTTTGGAGTATTGAGTCTAATTGCAGTGCCGTACGTGCCTGTTTGAGTCCTGTTTGCAGCGCAATGTTTGCAGTGCAATACCAAATGGATGTATACAATATACAGCTTCTTGTTACTAGTAGTAAGAATGCTCATAGTAGCGAGCCCCTGGTAGCTTCTTGTTCCTATATATAGCTATAACTTAAAACTATATATGCATGGATCACTGATGCAATCAACTGACATCGCAGCTCCTCCTTTCCGCCTTTAAGCAGCTGAAGCCTGAATGCTTTGCCAATGGGATTGGCAATAAGGCCCAACCGTGTACTTACCAAAAAGGCTCATGGTTGAAACGCAGCAAGAAAGGAACCATCAAAAATGGTCAAGAAATATGTGAGTCCATTTCTTGAGGTCTGAAGCTAGACCGAGGAGGCCGCAACATAGCACCAGCGTTTTCCTACAACATGCAACGTTATGACATGTCACGAAGCGGCAAACTGAACCGAAGATCTCGAAGACCTATATACCTGCGTAAACCTAAACTCTTTGTTTCAAGCAGTCGAAGCAGTTCCTTGGGTTACATCCTCGTTCTTTCTGTTGGCAACATTCTCTGACTGTGTCCTCGTTCTGCTCGCACCCTGAAGACCTAGGTGTCTGAAACAGGACCCAAATGCATGCAACAACGGCGCTTGCGAGAACAGCAGCGGCCTAAAAAGAAAAGAAAGCTAGCAGCAAATCCCTCTTGGCTTCGAAGTCTCACTGCTAGAAAGCAGGACACTAGAGTAAACATCCTCTACATATAGGAAAAGGTAAGCGAGTAGCTTTCTTGTAGCTCAAGTAAGCTACTAGCTACTAGACGCAGGATAGCTCACTAGCTCACTAGCTCACACTTCTTGGAAGCTCTCCCAGCTTCCTAAAACCGGCGGGTGGAGCTTCCTTGAAGAGCCGCTCCGCACCGATGCCCGATGGGGTTCCTACTAGTAGCAATGCCCTTGCTCCTTTGCTCCGCTTCTTGTTCCTAGTAGAAATGCCCTTTGTTCCTAGTTGCGTCCTTGCTCCTAGTAGTACGGCCAGGAGCCCCTAGTAGCGAACATTGCCCCAGAGATTTGTCAGGGAAACGCCCTTCTCCTCCTTCGTTTCCTTCTTCTTCGTGAAAGCTTCAGGAATGTTCAGCAAGCTATTGCAATTCAAGACTCTGCTTTGGAGAGGTCACTGACTCTATCCCTAAGCCCCTTCTTTTCAAACAAGGTATCAAGAATCTCCGAGGAGAATGCCAACTTCGGAGAAACCTTTGAAAGAAACTTCGACATACCTCGACTTCATACCCCTTGCCGGAAAGTAAGAATGCTTCTTAGAACACAAGAAACTATGTGTGTGTTTTTCTTTTGTCATTTTCTTTCTTAGTATCTTCCTTTCCCTAGGTCTTGGACTTCATTGCTGCTTACTACTACCAAGAAAGCAAACACACTGTCTTTACGAGGTAAGGACCTTACATGTACGAAATCCTACACCATATGACCAGGAGGCTGTTTGCTTGCCAAGGTGCGGCCGGTCGGAGGCCGTGGTCGGGCTTGGGCAGTCCGAGGTGACCACTTCACCTCGAAAACGGATACCTTAATGAATCCTTATAGTCGGAGCCCCTAGGAGCGTCCTTGTTACTACTAGTAAGGCACTTGCTCCTAGTAGCGATGCCAGGAGCCCCTAGTAGCGTCCTTGCTCCTAATAGAATCCTTATGATACCTTTTCTTCCTTTTCTTTGTTTCTAAATAGCGGCGATGGCTATGAATTCCAAGGTCCGTACTGTGTCACTCGTATTTGTGTGTACTATCGTGGGTGTGGCTTTACTTGTGAGACTCTCTTGCTTCTCAGGACGCCGCTGAGCTTCAGGATCATCGGCGACATGACAGCGGTCCCGTAGTCCGATGGCGTGGCCCCGAAATTCAGGTGTTGCACCTGAACGATGAAGTAAGGCACTTGTTCCTAGTAGCTTCTTGTTACTACTAGTAGTAAGGCACTTGTTACTAGTAGCGTGGCACTTGTTACTACTAGCTTCTTGTTACCTGAACGATGAACGATCCATGTGCACACGCCGCGTCGAGATGTGCACGGTCCGGACGCTGTTCATTTCTTTTTTTGCAGGAAAAAGCCTGGCACTGCGGTGAGCTAGTGGTCCAAGCAGCGCCCAAAAAGACTTAAGACAAATCTCCCAAGGCCCGAGACTGGAGATGGAGTTACCCCATCCGTCCGCTCTGCCTGAGCCGAGTGTGAGACCCTTCTCACAGTCTCTGGGACTCTGGGGCCAAGACTCCAGAGTCCTTGCGGGGCGTGGTTGGTGCCTGGCGGCTGCAAGGCGCTGCAACCCCCAAAACAATCCAATCGGACGATCTAAAAATGTCGGATCTAAAGCCCAAGTGGTCCAACTCCGCAGATTAGCCCTTCACATCAGTTCACAACTAGTCCAACAGTGTCCAAGCTGGTTCAGTCATTGGCCTCTTCTTTCTGTGGCATCGCTGCCTTATATGCATTGAAGGTCTTGTAAGGTCCGCTCTCAAGTTGTGCAAATCCAAGATCCAGACCGTCTCTGTTGAGTAACCTTGACCTAAGGCATGCGAAAAGAAGCATTTAGGACATTCGAAGAACTGGGTGACACATGCGTTGTTTTTGACAAGGTGTAGAAGTGAAAAGGATGCAACATGGCTCAGCTTCATGATGAACTATGCGTCAACTACGCGTCATCGTGCCAACACAACGAACAGCTCTGTCTCAAAGTTGCGGACCAGTTGGACACCAGGGCATTTGCCATGCCTCGGCATTCGCCGTTCCACTGGTCTCACCAGTCGAAGGTGGGACTTGGGTGAGAGATTTCTCTGAGGCTCTGGCAGGAGGCCTGGACTCGAGAGAAGAGTTGTTTTGGACTTGAAGCTTGGCTTTCTAAGCTTGTTCAGAGTTGCATCATATTCAACTCATATTCAACCAAGTGAACATGTGTTGCAAGTTCATGAGTGTTGCGTTGAGAGGCAGCAGGTGCTTGTATTATCTTGTATTTAGGAGTCCTTCACAGCTTCGAATGTGCATGCCTTTGCATATTATCTCCCTCTCAATAGCTTGCCAAGTCACCCCCAACCAGGATAGGCAGGCGGCATAGGTGCCTGAAAGCCAGAGTGAAAAAACAGCCAGAAGTTCAACTTTGGTGTCCTTCATGGCACAGCAAAAGACAGGACAAACAGTCCCCTAAAGTAGCCACTCTTCAGAAAGGAACTCGTCAGAAAGGTTCAATGCAGCAGCTGCTGACTCTGATGCTCCTTGTTTTCAACACTTGCCTGTCATGTCGT